GGGGCTAGGTACCCCACTCTCCCCAGACTCCCTGTCTGCTCTCATCCCCTGCTGACCCCCTTTGTCTGGCCCCCAGCCTTCCCTTCCTGCATGGTCCCTCTCTGGCCCATATTCTCGGCAGCCCAGCCACTCTGGACTAGCACTGCCCCCCGCCCCCATTGTGGAATGCCCCTCCCAGCTCCACAAACCGCTGGGACTTGAATCCTGGTTTTGCCACTGACCGGCTTGTGTGACCAAAGTCCAGTTTCTGGACTTGTCGGAGCCTCAGTCTGCCGCTCTGTGAGTGGTGGGCGAGGTCTCGCGCAGCTACAAGGTCCACAACCAATGCAGGCGTGCACACCCTGCGGGCAGAGCCCTCCCCTCGCGGCTCCCAGCCCCTATGCATGCTCAGGGGTCCAGGGTGCTGATCGAATGTGCGTGCGCCCTCCGCTCGGACGGTGGTGCTGCTCACTAACTAGCCCCAGCACCCTGCTCAGCGGAGGTCCCGGGACTCAGTGACCATTCTAAGTGTGAGCTCCCCCTCCCTGCACCCCACCCCTGGGGGACTGGCTGAGGCATCGATCGACCTGCCTGTGCCTTAGTACCCAGAGGGTGAAGGACACAAGGACACGCTCCCGGCCCAGCTCCGGGTCTGCATGTGGTTTGGCGATGTGGAAGACAGCCTGAATCTTAACCTGCTCCACCACGGGAACCTGGTTGTGTACGCGGAGACAGTGAGTGCCGGAGCGGGGTTCCTTGGGGGCTGGCGGGGGCAGGAGGCGGGGGCAGGTAAGATGGTCGTGGCAGGAGTCAGAATACAGGCCCACCAAAGAGCGCGCTGCCATTGAGTCTACTAACTCAGAGTGACCCTCTAGGACCTGGTAGAACCTCTCCACGTGGCTCGAGCCCGTCATCTTTCTGCGAGGAGCCCTGCTGGCGGGGTGGGCTACCCTACTCACTGTGAGGTGAGCAGTTTGAACCCACTAGGTGTTCCACGGGAAAACAGATGAGGCTTGCTGTTCCCGTAAAATGTTTCCAGCCTCCGAAACCCCAAAGGGGCAGGTAAGGCCCTCGGAATGTCCTCGAGAGTGGTGAGTCTGGCGGTGCCATCTCTCCAGAAACAGCCTGCCGCCACACTGCACCTTCTCAGAGAGCAGCTGGTGGGTTTGGACTGCCAGTCTTCGGATGAGCAGCCCGGTGCTTCACCCCCTGCGCCACCGGGCCACGTCCTGGGAGGCAGGCGGTGGGAGCTGCGAGCGCCCAGCATTGGAAATGAAGAGGATGTATGTGTGTCACTAAACCTCAGAACCGCAGGAGAGGGCCTGGCAGAGCAAGGTCAGATGCCACCAGCTCTGGGTCCCTTGGTGGCCAGTCATAAGCATGTAACGGATAGAGGTGTGGCCCACCTGAGCCCTGTCAATAGCTCCCTGATGGAGGCTTTGTGGGGGATTTCCTCTCAGCTCGTATGAGACAACCAAGGTTCCTAGGCCCACCGGACAGGAGAGCCTGGGGTCCCCGCAGACCCCTGGTGGGCCCTTTCGGCTAGAGATGGGACCACCGGACTGGAAGCCCAGGAACAGTCTGCTGTCCAGAGGGGAGGACATGAGACAACAACAGAACTGTAGACCCAGGGGCCCGGGAAGGACTGGAGAACATTCTAGAAAGAGGAGAGCGTGGTGACTGCTGCTGGAGGGTCAGAGGGAGGCGTGCGCAGGAGAGGGATCCAGAGAGAAGTTTTGACGTCCTGGCTTTTCAGTTTGTTGACTTGAAAGATAGTGTTGCGGTTGTTACGTTTCGGGCCGTGGATGGACACATGGTCTAGTGAAGCAGCCCCCTGTGTAAGGCTTGGTGAGGCAGAGGCGGAGTGGGATGAAGGGCAGGGTGCAGGGAGTAGGATATGGGGAGGAGAAGGCCCCCCGAGAGAGCCAAGATGGGGCACATGGTCCAGTGGACCTGGATCCCTCCGGGTCTGCAGTGAGGAGGGCGTGGGCAGTCACTGTTCCAGCGCTGACCTTCACCATACTCCACCCCTTGCTAACTGGGCAACTCAGGGCAGAGTTGGCCTCTGGCAGCCTCAGCCTCTTTGCCCATGGCCTGAGGTGCGGGGATGAAAGGAGACGTGTGAAGCCCTGGGCGTGAGCCTGCTCCACAGTGGGAGCTTCGTAAGTGGACGCGGCTCCCACTGAAGGACCATGGCCTTAGCTCAGGGGAGAGTGCTATGATGGAGGAGCTATGTTCTACAGGGCCCAGGGGCGCTGACAGCACAGGGGAAGCATAATTAACCACCTCCGTGGGACCTCCCTCCCTCCCTCACCGACCCTTGTCCTGATAACCCAAGCCCCTGGCCCAAGAATAGAGACCGTGGTGGGTGTGTGTGCCTAAGAGGCGTCTGTCGTCCTCTGGGGTCGAGCCTGGGCAGGCCGAGGGGGCAGGCCCTGATGAGTACTCCCCGCACAGTACGAGAATGAGGCCAAGCACAAGAACGAGTGGGGCCTGCAGGGCCTGCGCCGCCTCCCCAACTTCTCGGACGTCATTGGACGCACGGCCCTCCCCAAGGAGGACTTCAAGGTGCCCCATGGCTGGCACTGGCAGGGCAACTGGATGGTGGAGCCTCAGAGGAGGTAAGGCTGGGGGTTCGGGACCTTTTTAACCTGAGGAGTTGGACAGGGGTAGTCTGGGAAAGGTGAGCTCAGATCGGACGGAGGCAGCATGGGGGATGCTCCAGCAGTCTCTCCACAGCCCAGCCCTGTGGGTTGGGGTGCACCGGGCACAGAACCCTGCCTCCCACCCTGCCTGGAGACCTGGGGCAGCACAGGAGGGCCCCAGGGGCCTGGAGGTTCTGGGGGATAGCTTGGGAATCTGGGGTCTCCTCCCCACAGACTCCTTCTGGACATAGACATCAACAAGGTCCAAGTGCTGGAGGAGGTGTACGAGAACCAGACCCGTGACGTCACCGGGGCCTGGGTGGCGGCGGCCATCCCAAACTCGGATGTGGTGAGCAAGGGTTACCAGTGCCTTGTGTGTGGGGGTGTGTGTGGGAGAGCCAGACAACAAGATGGGGAGCCTTGGAAGCTGGATTGTTCGGGTGGAAGGATACTGGGCTCTAGGGGTTAAGACCTGAACCCTGCTTCCTAAGCATGTGTGCTTATCCTCGATCCTTCAGCCCTCGCAGCCCCCACCCAGGGCTAGGTTACCTTCAGGAAGACTTCCAGAAACAACAGGGCAAGGCAGTGTGTCCTCCTCAGGCCTCATTCCGAGGGGGCACTGTCCCCGAGGGGGAGAAGCTGAGTGGGGCTCATCTGACCAGCACAGGCCAGCAGGATTGCTACCATAAGGGAACTCTCCCACATCTGCACTGTCCACAGAGGGAGGGGGGGGACGCGTTCTGAGCTACTGCACACGTGGCCTCATGGCTCGTGAGACTGAGCCACTACACTTTTCCCTTGGTTTCATTTTAATTAGCTGCCCCTTGGTGGTGCAAATGGTTTGTGTGACCCAAAGGTAGGCAGTTCAAATCCACCCGGCTGCAAAGCTGCAGTTAGAGGACAGTCATTGAAAATCTTGGGAGCACAGCTCTACCCACACCCCCGTGAGCTTGCCCCAGTCAGCTTGGACTCGCTGGCAACCAGCCTGGGTAGTTTGGACAGGGTAGCCTCAGCCGTCTGATGGGTGGACTCCGGCTCCTGGCGAGCGACCACGCATGTGCAAGAGCCCAACTGTTCGCCGTTGTTTTCGATGGCTGATTTTTCGGAAGTTGCTCATCGAGTCTTTCTCCAGGGGAGACTCTGGGTGGACTCACACTTCCAGTCCTGTGGTTAGCAGCCAAGGACGCACCAGACTCTCAACACGCACTGATCTCGCCTTTGTAACGCGGAGTGAGCGGACGGAAGCTTGAGCATTCAACGGGAAGTCAGACATGCCACCTGCTTCCTCCACGCTTCCAATGGCTGGTTTTCAGTGCGTTACACAAAGCCGGGGACAAGGAAGCGGCCTTCTACTCCCATGGGGCTACAGCCTCAGAAACGCACAGGGGCAGTTCTACCTGCCCTACACGGTCGGCATGAGTCAGAGATTGATTCGAGAGCAGTGAGGGGTTTTTTTGGGTGTGTGCAAAGCTGCTTTTAAAGGTAAATTTACTTTAAAGTGCAAGAAAAGCAAGTGAGTAGACACACAGTAAGTGAGTTTTACAGGTGGCCGAAGATGCTGTCTGGTCCAGGAGGTTGGGTTGTGTTTGCTTGGTGGGGAAGGGAGGCAGGGGGAGATGGGGCACTGTGCCCACAGTAGATTCACGGATTATGGAAAGAGTGAAGAGAGTGTCCAAGGCAAGCCTCATTCTGGCTCAGATAGCCCTTAGCTCTCCTTCTGACCGTCCACCACAGGACGGAAATGCTGTCCCTTCCCGGGAGGTCATGAAGTGCCCCCGAGGCTGGTACGTTCAGAAGAACTGGACTGTGCAGTTGAACCATGCGGTGGACAATGAAGGTGAGGCCTGAGGCTGTGGGATGACCGTGGGATGACCGTGGGAGGACCAAGCATCTGCTGAACTCTGGCTTCAACATCACCGCATTATCAGAGGCCACTTCTGGGCAGGTGGGGTGGGGGTGGGAGTCTCGTACTTGTGACAGCCTGCGAGTAGCCAAGCTCTTGGGTGGGATGGGCCTAAATTCCTCGGTCCCCCAACCTCCAGGGAGCAGGATCTCCACCCTTGTACAGTTCTGAGCCAGGCTAGGTTGAGTGCCTCCCGGGGGCTGGCCCAGAGTAAACCTTGGCAGATGCCCATGAATATGAACCTGGTCACTTAACCTGAGTTCATCAGGGAAGGTGCCTTGGACTTGAAGTCTGAAGTCCTAGGTCAAAGAGGCAAACTGCTTCTTACCTGCTGCAGGACCTTGTGTGGGCCACAGTTCATCCCTGAACTTCATCTTCCTCGTTTGTAAGGTGGACAGTTGGGCCGGAGACATCCAGGTGTGATAAAATGTCAACACACCTTTCCATAAAACAGGTCTTAGGGACAAGAGAGACTCGGGGAAAATCATAGCTCCTTTAGTCTTCCCAACAGGAGCTCTGGTGGCTTAGTGGTTACGCATTAGGCTGCAATCCTCAGGGTTGGCAGTACCAAACCACCAGTCGCTCCACGGGAGAAAGATGAGGCTTTCTACTCCCATAAAGAGTTAGAATCTCAGAAAGTCACAGGGGCAGTTCTACCCTGGGTTGCTAGCAGTCGATACTGATTTGATGGCAATGAGTTTGGCTATTTGGGTGAGTCTGCCCTTCTTGAATCCATCTTGCAGCCCTACCTAAGCTCCCCGCCCCTGTGGGGGGAAGACCCGGCTCAGGTCCCCAGAGGTCACAGGCTGACTTCCCACAGGCTGGGAGTACGGACTGGGGATCCTGCCCTCTGGCCTGCCCGAGGCCTGGAACTCCGTGGAGAAGACTTACCACTCGGTCCGGCGGCGGCGCTGGGTGCGCATGCGGTTCCGGAGCCCCCAGAAGCTGACCCAGGAGCAGGAGACCCTGTCCTTCCTGCAGCTGGTGAGGAGGCCACCTGGCAGGAGCTCTGGCCAGGACCTACACAGAGGCAAGGGCTACCTCGGGCCCCCGGCCAGAGGAGGACCCTGCTTTCTCTCTGCAGCATAGCTCCAGTGTGGCCAGGGAGGAGGAAGGCTGGGAGTATGGCACCTTTGGCTCCAGGTTCCATCTGAACCCTGAGCCCACCAGCCAGTTCCGCCGCCGCTGCTGGCACCGCAGGCTGGCCCCCAACAAGGTCAAGGACAAGGACAAAAACGTCGCACCGATCTTTCTCCTGGAGGGGTCACTGGTAAAGGCTCCCCACCAGCCTGCTTCTCAGAGCCAGGGCCTGACCTGGATGCGGCAAGGATGCTGCCCCCTCCCCCCCTTTCCAGATTGGCCACTGACCACTGGGGGTAAGGGGTAGCCGGAGAGTGGACCTCAGTTCCACATCCCCAGGGTCCCCTGGGTGGGGGCCTGGGCTGGAGGAGACAGGAAAGCAGCCAGGAGCCTCAGGGGAGACCCTCCTAGGAACTGACTGCAGATGAGGCTGGGCAGGCTAAGGAGGTCAAGGGGGTGGAGAACAGATCGTCTTTGTGGGGGACGAGCAACATGTTCTCCAACACCTGGAGGCCCACCCTCAAGAACACCCGGCCGTCCGACATGCCCTTCGTCTACTGCACCTTCAACAGTGAGCACCCAGCTGCCAGTCCCCTCGGGCGGGCAGTGCCAGAGACACAGGCCCAGTGTCTGAAAGCAGGGATGGGGAGGGCCCGGATGGGGAGTGAGAAGGTGTCCCGTGGGGGCCCTGGGGCAGGCAGTGGACACAGGCTCCTCTCTTACCCAGAGCCCCACTACTACCAGCTCTTCTGCTACATCTACCAGGCCCGAAACCTGATGCCCAACCAGATCCAGACATTCCAGAGTAGGTCCTGAGCCCCCTTTGACCCCTAAGCCTGCAGGGGCTGCCCGGGCGGTGTGGTCACTCAGCAGTATGAAACATGGGGCGAGAAAGCGGGAGGGGGGAGCGGGGCGGTCCCCTCCCTCTACCAGCGCATGGCTCTGGTTTGGGGCAGAAGGACAGGCTGGGCTGCTCTTGAGCCCTGAGCTCGTGCTAGGGAATCGGGGAGAGGAACTGAGGAGGCTGCTTCGTGTGGTGACCACTGGCTGGGCCTGGGAGAGGGAGAAGGCGTTCAGGAGGCCGGAACAAGAACTCAGAGACCGGAAGTTCCAGGAAACGGAGGCCCTGTTTGAGGACTCCGTGGCCCCCGGGAGGGGCAGAGGAGGGCAGGGGAGGAGTTGTGTCCATGCGGGGCCCTGAGAGGGAGGAGCCGCCCCTCTCCCTGTGTGGGAAACCAGGGCCGTTGGAGGAGGCCCTGTGTCTCAGGACAAGAAGATGGCTGGGGTGGAGAGTGGGAGGACCTAAGGACACCCACTTGGAGCTGTGTCCAGTGGGCATCGGCACCGGCAATAGGATCCTGCAGTGTGTCCCGAGGGCAAGGCCACTCACTGATAGAGCGGCAGGGTAGCTGCAGGGTTGCCTGGTCTCCTCCCCACCTCCAGTGGGGCAGGCACGGAACATGTGCGCATGGAACCGGAAGGCCCTTGGCCTCTGAATAGACACCGCTTATGCTCAAGTGGGGTCTGCACGGCTGGCAGCGGCCCCTGAATGGGGGGGGGTGGCGCTCTGACAGTGACGGCGGCCCGAGGAGGGGAGCACCTCCCAGTCCAGGGCACGGCCTCCCATCCCTCTCCCGCCACCCTGCAGGCCCGTTCATCCGCGCCATCTTCCTGAACCACAGCCAGTGTACCCAGTCCCTGAGCAGCTCCACGGCCCCCACGTGGGC